CACACACACACACACACACACACAGTATAAAAAGCATTTTTCCACGGTAGCAGAAAATAAAAAGTGACCTTTTATTTTTCTTGTATAAGACAAATGACAATCTGATACATTTCTTGATAGATTATTTTCTCTTAAAAATAAGAAAATTAAGCCAAGAGACTGTCAAAGTAACAGCTGATGTTAATTAAACAAAATAAAAAAATAAAAAAACATAACTGGTCAGAATCAAACAACACAGATTCAGTTCCGGTTTTCTTCACTTTTATCTTCTGAAAATCAGTTTTTTCTACATCCACAACATGCAGGACACATAAGGTCAAATACTTACTGCAATATACTTTTCAATTTATAGGATATTTATGAAATATCAAAAACATTTGCTAATGGACAAAGATAAACATTTGTTTTGCATCAGTGAGCAGGAATCAGTTTGTAGTGTTTCATTAAATCACAGCAGAGTTCACAAACAGGATCTGATAAATGTTGACGTGTTTTATTGTTTGTTTGAGAACATGTAGTTATTATTGTAGTTATTATTGTAGTTTTTATTGTAAAGGAACAACAGAACCTCTCTTCACTCACAAACGGGTCTTGTGGGACAGAAGGGCTAGCTGCCAAAGGCGGGAAAGTCCACATGTCCAAACAGCTGCTGATACACAACGTATTACACTGTAACACTACCACAACTTTCCTCTGTGTGTGTGTGTGTGTGTGTGTGTGTGTGTGTGTGTGTGTGTGGAGGGGAGTTCAAACTCTTGTGTACTCACACAAAAAGGTGTTTTTTTTCCTCCTCCCTCCCTTTCTGTGCTTCTCTGGCTGTATTTCCATCATTTGTTGTTATTCTGAAGTGTTGCGTTAGAAAAGGTGAAAGAAAACGGCACCATTCAAAAATAATTTCTTCCATTTCATGAAAAGTTTCTACGCTCGCTTCAGGTGGTTTTTGGATTTGTCAAAAGAAAAAGAGTTAATGCTCCAAAGGGGAGATGGAAACAGGTTTGACGTGGTGAATATGGTTGGTCTCACAGTCTGAACAGTACCGCTGTCTTCTCAGTTTTTCTTGTAACGTGGACAAACTAATCTCTTTCTCTACGTCTGCAGACAGCAGTGACATCACCAGAACCAGTTATGACAGAATAATTACAACTTTCTGACAGTAGCAACACGTTCCTGACAACTTCTCTCCTTTGACCTGAGTTTGTGACTTTACTTCCTGTTTACCACAGCCATGTGTGTGATGTAATTACACTTTGTGTGGCCTGGTTGACTCACTTCATGCCAGTTGGTTCTGATTCACTTTTTTTCCTTTTCCTACTTTCAAGGTTGACTCAGAATTGAAATTGGATGGAAACACAGCTCGTGTCTTAACCCTGGCTCCTCAGAGGGTTAAGTGTTCAGAGTGGAGGGGCTCACCGTCAGTGGGGGGGGGCCTGCACATTCAGCAGGACTTTTGGCACCWTGTAGGAGATCATGAGCAGGGATGATGGGATTGTTTGGGACGATGACTTGTCTGCTACTTGTCGTCTCCTGTGTTGGTTTTGTCCATCAGGGTGGTGTTGTTGGAGGCACACATGTCTCCGTCCTTCAACCCTGTCTTCACTCTCTTCAGCTCCGGCTGGTCCGGCAGTTCTCCATTCTGCCTCTTCACTGGGAGGGAGGCCGAGGCTGAGGCACGTGCTGCCAGAAGCTGAAGAGGGTTAGCTGCTGAGGAAAATGAGACAGGATTAATAAAACAACAGAGTTCATCCTGTCTTTTCATTTAGCAAACAGCACCAGCAGAATTAACGATTCAGTTCTGAATGTTTATGGTTTAAACCAGTGTTTCCCAAAGTTGGGGTCGGGACCCAAAGTGGGGTCCCGAAACATCAAGGTGGGGTCCTGACAAGATTTCATGAATTACATTTTTGCCTTAGTTGTTATAAAGGAGTGAGGTTAGTGTATTTAAAATGGATAAATGTAGTATAAAAATATTGGACCTCATGTAAGAACCGTTGGTACACAGATTTGTTCTTAAGTTGTGCGTACGAGTGATTTAGGAGAATTTGTGACATTCACCAATGTTTTCATATTCTAAGATAGGAGAAAGACCCCGCTCTCCCCAGCGACACCTTCCAGCTCGTCCTGGGGGACTCTGAGAC